CGCTGCTGGAGCTGCACAAGCGGCGGAAGGTGCTGAGCGAGCCCGAGGCCCGGTACTACCTGCGCCAGACCATCCTGGGCTGCCAGTACCTGCACAACCACCGCGTCATCCACCGCGATCTCAAGCTGGGCAACCTCTTCCTCAACGACGACATGGAGGTGAAGATCGGTAGGTGGCCCTGCCGTGATGCCCTCTGCCAGCCCCCCACGGCAGGGGGACCAGCCATCCGGGCCATCTCCAGTCACACACCGTATCCCTGTCTCTCTCAGGTGACTTTGGTCTGGCCACCAAAGTGGAGTACGATGGTGAGCGCAAAAAGACCTTGTGTGGGACCCCCAACTACATTGCCCCAGAGGTGCTGGGCAAGAAGGGGCACAGCTTCGAGGTGGACATCTGGTCCATCGGCTGCATCATGTGAGTCAGAGCATCTCTTGTGGGGCTGAGTGATCCCTGTTGGTCCTTCTGGGTTTTGGTGTGAGCTGAAGCTTTGGGCACGCTGTTCCCAGAGCTCTTGCCCTGGCTGAGCCCTGCAGACAGCCAGCACACGGCCTCCCCTGTGCCCACACACGCTGGTCTGCAGGCCAGTCTACACAGCATGACTGTCTTGCCAGTCTACACAGCATGACTGTCTTGTGGCGTGTCCCAAAACCCTACACTTCCAAACTGGAACTTTCCCCAGTGAATACTGGATCCCAGTTTCCCTTTTCAGGGGCAGGAACCAGGCACAGGACATGTAGCTGTCTGCTCTACTGCGTGCCTGATGCTGCCAGAGATGTCCCAGGGTGTGCTTGGGATGGGGTCACTTTTGCACACAGGTCTGAGTGTCTTTTGCAAAACTGACACCCTTTCATCTGTAAATGTGCAGGTACACTCTGCTGGTGGGGAAGCCACCTTTTGAGACTTCTTGTCTAAAAGATACGTACATCCGGATCAAGAAGAACGAGTACACCATTCCCAAGGTGCGGTGCTTCCCGACTTGCTCCCCTCGCAGCAGTTCTCGCTCAGCCTTCTGCTGCACCAGCCTGTTTCTGGCCTTGAATGGGCTCTCAGGTGATGGTGAAATCCTGCAGAGCAGTGGGAAGGGGATGTTTCAGTGGGTGGTGGAGTGAAGCTGTAGGACCAACTTCCTCTTGGGGAGCTCGTGGCTCCCCTGTAATCCAGCAAAAATCCATGCTTGGTGGTTGGAACATGGGGTTAAATGGTCGTATTTAACATCCATGAGGTCTGATCCCCAGCTTGACCTGCTGCTGTTGATTTGCTCTTGCTAAAGTCAGTTGACTTGGAGCTTTACAAGCTGTCCAGAGGCAGCTCTCCATGCCTGCCCAGTTCTGTTTGCCGTGACTTGCCTGACGCAGCACAGGAGCTCTGCTCCAAGCAGAACTCCCCTGCGTTGTGTATCTGATGCGTTTGCACTGACGTGCGTTGTTCCCTGGCCCTTGTCTCTAAACTCTGCCTGTCTCCTCTTAGCACATCAACCCTGTAGCTGCTAACCTCATCCAGAAGATGCTGAGGTCTGACCCCGCCACACGCCCGACCATCGACGAGTTGCTGAACGACGAGTTCTTCACGTCAGGGTACATCCCCAGCCGCTTGCCCACCAGCTGTCTGACCATAGCACCTCGGTTTTCACTTGCTCCCAGTGGTCTCGAACTGAACGGGCGAAAGCCACTGACTGCACTTAACAAAGGTAAGAGCAAGTGCCCAGAGGTGGGGCTGGATGGGTGTGCTCAGTGAGAGCCTGCCTGGCCTCCAGCAACATCCAGAGTCCTCAGTGGGCAGTGAGGCACTTCCTCACCTCTTGTGATGGAAAACTGGAGCATTTTGTGAGTGAGAGAGAGGTCTCCTCGTTCTTTGCCCAGAACCAAAGCAGGGAGGAGATTTACATACAGCTGTATGGTATGTACTGTGTTTCCTCTAGCTAGGGTAGAGCGTAGATCTAGTGCCTTTAGAAACCTCCTCCCTGGCCATGCCTTCACACTCTTCTTTCTCCTGGCCCAGGACCAGACAGCGCTGCCCTAGAGAACCTCCCTGAGAAGGAAGACGCAGCCGGGCTGCGAGAGCGGGAGAACGCTGTTGAGTGTCACTTAGCAGACTTGTTACAGCAGCTGACCGCGCTCAATGCGGCCAAGCCCTCTGAGAGAGTGACAGTGAGACAAGGTGAGTGGGGACAACCCCACAGACACTGGATAACTCCCTTCTCTGCCATTGATGTTGTCTGAAGTGAGAGACTCGCTGCCCTTGGTTTCAAACAGGCTGAGAGGCGAGGCAGTAGCTACTTGCCTGCCCTATGGTGTTGCTTGCTTGCTGGGGTGCACAGGGTGCTGTGAAATGTCCTCTAACAAACCCTTTCCTCTCTGCAGAAGAAGCTGAAGACCCAGCCTGCATCCCCATCTTCTGGGTTAGCAAATGGGTGGACTACTCAGATAAATATGGTCTAGGTAAGAAACATGGGGGCAATGCTTCAGCCTTTTCTAACTTCTGAGGAGGCCAGGGGAAGCTATGCAGATTTGGGCATTGCGTGGGACTGGGGTGCTGTGATTAAAGCCCCAGAGTGCAGGCTTGTCCTGGTTTAGTGGGGCAGAATTTGAGAATCAGCTTTCTGTTGAGGAAAACTGCAATTTTGTGAGGACTGCAACACTATTACATGGTAACAAAGTGATAAAACTTTGTTATAGGCTTCAGCTAATACTGGTGTGCAGCTTGTCACAGTGCTCAAGGTCTTCAAGGTCTTGGGATAAATATGTACAGAGGCTGGGGCGAGTGGAAACCCAGGGGAGTTGGCTGCAAGGTGACCCCAGACTCATCAATTAATACTATTTGTAACAAAAATGTCACATTCACTGGAAGTTGGGGAGTTTGCTGAGGATGGCCCTTCTCTTCCTCTCCCTCCTGCTCCCATGACGGTGTCCAAGGCCACTGCCAGGAATATGACCAACTACGCAGTGAATCCAGAGTAGTGGTGACCGAACATCGGCCCTGGCCTCTTTAGGGTGGAAAGTGGGTACCTGCTGCACCAGATGGCTGGCCTCGCTCCGCAGCGAGCGTGTGTACCCCCCGTGGCAGTTCAAGCTCCTTCTGCAGCAGGCGGTGGCACAAGGGAGGATGACAAATCCAGAGCAGGGAAGGTGCCACTCAGACCTCCCCAGAGAGGAGACCCTCGAGACCTGGCAGGGGCTGGCGGTGGCTGCTGGGGAGCCCCTGGAGGACACAACCTCCTGCCTTTGCATTGCACACCACGGGTGATGATGTGTATCCAAAAGCTGAACAGGCTCCCTTGTGGTCCAGGCTACCAGCTGTGTGACAACAGCGTGGGAGTGCTCTTCAACGACTCCACTCGCCTTATTATGTACGACGACGGGGACAGCTTGCAGTACATCGAGCAGAACAGCACCGAGTCCTACTTCACCGTGAGATCCTACCCCTCTGCCTTGAACAAGAAGGTCAGTCCTGGGTCCGGGGCCTTGCTCGGAGGTTTCTGCTCCTGCTGAGAGTTCTGCCAGCCTTGTTGGGCTTTTCCAGGGGGAAACATCTGTAGCATGGGGTCACTGGCACTCTGCAGGCTTCCTCTTGGCTGGTAATGCAGGGTCCCAGGACAGACACTGGCATCTCTAACCATTCATTTCTAGTTGCTCTGTGAGTCTCAGTCATGAGCAGCTGCACACAGAGAGGTGCTCACAAGGCTTGCACGTACTGAAGAGTTCAGCAAAATGAATCTGGAGTATCACAGCCCCAGTTAACCCTGAGAATTCGCAGGAGTTTATGCAGTGATACCTTGAGCTCTGAAAGCTGTGGGGAGGCTCTGTGCTGTGCCAGCAGCCCCTGCCCTCCCCAGGTAGCAGGGGTCACCCTCAGCCTGTCCGCTCACGGCCTGTTCCCCCCCCGCAGATAACACTACTGAAATATTTCCGGAACTACATGAGCGAGCACTTGCTGAAGGCGGGCGCTAACATCACGCCGCGGGAAGGGGACGAGCTGGCCCGTCTGCCCTACCTCTACACGTGGTTCCGCACCCGCAGTGCCATCATCCTGCACCTCAGCAACGGCACCGTGCAGATCAACTTCTTCCAGGTGAGGATGCTGCTCGGCTCCCTCCAGCTCTGGCTGCTGACAGAGCCCCACCACGCACCACACTGTACAGGGGGATACGACCTGGGCAGAAACTGCCCGGTGAACTGAGCGCTGCGAGGCTCTTTCCTCCTCTTGCTGCTACACAACCCGCCCAGATGCTCCTCACTTGCGAGGGCGCTGTGTCCTTTAGCAGGAGGGAGCCCGCTGCATGGTCTTGAGCTGGCTGGCCACATGGCTTTGCTTCCCTTTGCTACAATCTGTGAGCAAATGCAGTGGCATGGAGCTGTCAGTGTGCTTCTGGGGTGGTTTATCCTGAGCAAACGCGGTCCCCAAGGAGCAGAGTGCTCGTGGTGACGGGATGCTCTTTCCCCACAGGACCACACCAAGCTGATCTTGTGCCCCCTCATGGCTGCCGTCACGTACATAGATGAGAAACGGGACTTCCGCACGTACAAGCTGAGCCTCATTGAGGAGCACGGGTGCTACAAGGAGCTGGCCAGCCGGCTCCGCTACGCTCGCACCATGGTGGAGAAGCTCCTCAACTCAAAGCCTGGCCCAGCCCGTGCGAAATCCTCTGCTTAGGCCCTGTTCTTGATGGACGCAGAGTCTGTGCCAAACTGTCCCAGCTGTGGATGAGGGGGGCTGGTGGTGTCCCCGCTGGCGCCGTAACCCCCGTCACACGGCTGGGCTCCCGCTCCGAGGTATGGTCTGGTTGCCACAGGAAGCCCCTGGTGCTGTGGGAATGGTGGTGTTCACTCTGACTGGTACCCAAAGGTTTCTCGCCTCCCACTCCTAATAGAAAGTCTTTTTTAACCGCGTACCTGGTCTTTCCTGGTTTTGTGTTGTGTTTTTTCTAACTGCCTGAAGTCTGACTCAAAAGCCAACCCTCTTTGTCTGGGGCTCCAGGGCCTCGCAGGAACAAAGCACGGGGAGAGCAGGGCTGTCGTGTAAGTTATTTGTACACGTGTGTGCTGATGCTCTAGGCTTTTGTTTCCTCTTGTAGAAATTCAGGTAAGGTATTTAAAGTGCCCAGGGTGAGACTGAGCAACCAGCCTTTTAATACTGAAGTTAATGACATTAAACTGTTTTGTATATTGCATAACCCGATTAAAGATTGTTTGCCACAGCATCCAGCCTGTCACGGTTCCCTTGGCCTTGCACTTTTGCCTCCAGCTTCCCCTCCAAGCAGGAGCTTTCCTCTACGTGAGATGGTGCTGTGTGATCCCAGAGCTCTGGCCTCGCTCCTTGCTCAGCTCCACCTCTGAACACAGAGCAATGGGGAAACGGCAGCAGGTTGTGGGGACACGGGGAGGGGTTGTTGTTTTGGGAGGTGCTGGTCACAAGCAAAGAAGGGCTGGGAGGTTTGTGCTGATCTCCCCCCACTCTGCTGCAGGAAAAGAGGCATTGGCTGTGCTCTAACCTGGGTGCTGTTTAACACCCTTCCCTGTTCTGGTTACCTGGCTCTCTTTGCTCTGTGAAAGATGCTCAAAATGCAACTACATCATTAGCAGAAGTCCTCTGCTGTAGTGGGCTTTGGCAGCCCAGTGGGCTATGCTGGGTTTTCTTCCACCATTGCTGTGCTCAGTTTATTTTCAAGCAGGACCTGCTTTTTAGTCTTTATTCTTTTTATAACACTTTGTACAAAATGCTCTAGGACCTATGGTATTCTGAAAAGAACCCAGGTCCAAACCCCTTGTTACCTGTGTAACAAAACCCCACACCCCAGCACCCAGAGGAATCAAACTGTACAAAAATCATTGCTGTTCCAGGGAGGAAACCTTGCCCAGGGGCTCCCAGGCTGCCCCCAGCCTCAGTGGATGCTGTGTGTGGGGGCTGGCTCATAGGGGATGCATCCCACTGCAACCCAGCACAGCCATGGGCTGTAGGGCAGAGGGAAGGGGTCCCTGGGCACAGGGGGTGCTCATGTTTGCCTGCCTCTGTGTCCCAGGACAACTGCTCAGGATGTGGCAGCAGGCTGCTGGTGAGCAAAAGGGAGAAAACCTTGCTCAGCCCAGCAGAGATGACAAATTCCATTGCTGGGATTGTGCTGGTGGCCCCTTGTCCTCAGCAGCCCCAATGTAAAGGGAAGGTCCAGGCCCTGGGGTGGCTGCCAAAAGCTGCTGGGCTGGAGGAGCAGCTCCAGGGTCAGGACTGGTGTCTCAGCCTCAAATTGCCACTTTCCCAGGCATTTGCCATGGGGGATGCATGGGATGAAGCTCACCCATCCCCTGGTGAATGCGCTGCTGGGACCTGGCCCCAGCCTGGCCGCGGGCTCTGCCCCTGCGTGGCTCTGCTGCTGCTGACCATGGGAAAACACAACACACATCTTCTTCTTTCATCTCAGTGCCCTGTGTCCACTGCAGAGATTTGGGGTTTTTGTGCCCTCTGACACAAATGCCTTCAGGCTGCTGAGTCTGACTGTGAGCCTTTGCAAAGGTGGGTGCCCAGGGGGCTGCTCCAGGCAGAGCACAACACAGTGCTCGTATCTTCTGGACCGTGCTGCTGGTTCCCAGTGTGGGTGTCCATCCTCATCCTGCCCAGGGAGGGGTGAAGGGTTCTGGGGAGCCCTGGGGCTGCTTCCAGCTGAGATGGGGCTGTGGTAGGCGCAGGAGGAGCCTGGCTCCACGGGTGCCATCCTGGCTCCATGTCCCTGCTCACTCGCCGTCACCTCCCGGGCCCTGGCAGTAGTAGGGGTGGAAGAGCCGCTCGTGGGCGCAGACCCTCATGGCCCTGTGCGTGTGCAGCAGCAGCCGAGGGAAGTGAAATACTGCACGAAGCCTTCGGGGACGGAGCCCAGGGCGGCCCGGACCTCGGCCGGCAGCTCATGGTAGTGGTGCTTCTGCAGGAGAGAGGTGAGGTGTGAGCGGGGGGACACGGGTGCGGGGGCACAGGGGG